CGCCGCTCCTCGCCACAAGCCGCTGCTGCTGGGCCCAGGCCTCACGCCGTGACTTGGGGTGTTGAACCTGAACCAAAGGAGACACAGTGTTTTTAGGGCGAGTTTTTTAGAGCTTCTTTTCTGTAGGGCGAGCTGGGTTTAGGTCTGCAAGTAACTAAGGGCATGAGCACACAAGGGATGGGACCCGCTCAACGGAACCGGCTGCTGAGGCCGAGAGCACAGACTCGTGGCCTCAGTTTCATAGAATCAATCATAGAATCCTAGGGGTTGGAAGGGACCTCGAAAGATCACCCAGCCCAACCCCCCTGCCAGAGCAGGGTCACCCAGAGCACATCACACAGGAACGTGTCCAGGGGGGTTTTGAATGTCTCCAGAGAAGGAGACTCCACAGCCTCTCTGGGCAGCCTGTCCCAGTGCTCAATAACACAGTGACTCAATAACAGCAGCAAGACTTAAAACGAGCACAGGAGGGCTGGGGTTGGCCTAGGTGGGTACGCCAGCTCGACCGAGCCAAGCCAGAGCTGCTTGGCTGTCGGTACTGATACACATGCCACCAGGTCACCCTGCACCACAGACGTGGTCTAGGCAAAAACACATCACCTCAGTGTCACTTCCGTTCCACCAATGCGTGACTCAGCTTCAGGTCATACGTGCAGATCTACTTGACCCCACACGACGTGTGCCGTCAGTTTTATAAACACATTTACACCAGCAGCACCATTTTTTCAAAGTCATTGTTCTGCCACGTGGCTGCACTATTTTTGATGCAGAAATAAGAGCCACGCACGTAAATTTACTGTTGTCTCGATGCACGGCTGGAGTGGGGTGGGAAGACAAAAATGATGCTCAGAATAATTTTTATTGACGACAGTCAAAGTTTTAGGGCACATTTTAACAAGCAGTTAAATAATAGCGAGTGCTGGGGACAAGAACCTTAATGCATCCACAGTCCCATTCCTGCAATGACTGAATGCTGGTAGTTTATTTAAAGTGCACTAAAACATTAGGTTGAAACTCACCCTAACTGATTAGTCAGTATTTAAAACACCACAGTGCAGATGTGCTTGGATGCCAATTTTAATAACTAATTAAGTTCAAAACTAATTAAAGACACCAATATACACCAAAACCAACTTACATCAATTATACTGTAATTACAGCTGTTTTGAGATGTAACATGCTCGGAGTCCAAAACATTGAATCCAAGTTTAATTTAACTTCTCCAAAAATATCCTGTCCAAACCTGACACAATTTCTGACATTACAATCGTATAAAGATTCATGGTGAAATATTGTCAGTCAGCCAAAATTAGGAATAAGGACTACATTGAATAGTAAGTATTAGACTTACCATTATTTTAGAAGAGCCATATTCAAGTTAGTAATATTTGTTATGGCAAGAGACTATACTTGCAGCATTTGTTTAGTGTCTGCACAGGGCGTGAACAGGAAAAATCAAGAAGCTAGGTTTGTTTCTTTTTCTCAAGATAATGTCTAAGCCAATTTGTTTTCCACAGTGTACTTGGTGTCTGGATTGAAAATATCGGAGGGGGTGTTTAATTCTCAATCAACAAAATGATTTTGCTGTTCGGGTTTGTTTTTTTTTAAAATCTAAACTCTACTCACAATTCTAAGGACAAATACCTTAATCCTGCAGTTACTGATGAATATGAAACTGTTTCAATGTAGAATCAGTGTTGTTCTCACTACAGTACAAAGGTATTTTGTAGCACTAGACCAAACAACTGTGGGGCTCTGCAAGGTGCGTAAGTACC